GGAGGAGGCGTTAAGAAGACTGAGAAACTGAATGATTTCAATGTGTCTTTGTTTTTGATCCTTTGATTCAGTGTAAATAATTTTTGTAAAAGACTGAAAGAAATAATAATACTGTGAAACAAAGTGTCATTCTGGTTTGTCTGTCTCTTTGCCTGTCTTTCCTTTCATTTTTCTTTTCTTTGCTCATCTTATTTCTTCTTCTACTTCACATGCTCATGCTCTTAGTCAATAGTTCTGTGACAATATATATCTCACACACACACACACACACAAACAAAAAAACGAACTTCCCCCCTTTTTTTTTCGGAGGCCCCACGCGGCCTCAAATTTTGTTAATATTTTTTTGTGGTTTATGACGCGACATCCCACTCGGGTCTAAAACACCCCTCCCCAACTTCTTTTTTTTTCTCGACCCCTTATTTTTGGGGTGCGCCGCACCCCGTTGCTCGCGCGTCGTGCACTGTGTGCAGTGCGGCGCGTGTGCGCGGTGCAGTGCACGTCGATGCGCCGCAAGTATGGTTTATACTCTTTGCAGAAACAGCGCCTGCTTGCCACTGGGTTGCGATTGCTTGCGTTTCGTATATACGTTCTATGAATGTCTGTTTGGCAGCTTTGGTTGGCCATTATTGTACACAGTCTATTCATATGGCAGGGTCCCGTTTCCACTCGGTCCACTCTCAAATGCAAAATGCAATCAGAAGCTCTGACGGCAGCATGTTGCATTGAGTGAAATCATGGGAAAATGTGAAATCATGAAACTTTGGTTTTGGGGGCTGAAATCATGAAACTTGGTTTGGGCTGGGGGCTTGGAATCATAAGGCATGTAAAACTTAAAACTTAAAAGTTAAAACTTGATTGGGGTGTGAAATCATGGGACGTGATTTGACGGTTAGACTGAATCGTATGTGTGATAGTGCAAAGCCCAGAATATGGGCTCCGTGCTTCGAAAAGGTTATGGAAAGCGAGCTGTCACAGTTTTGAGCTTTAAACCACCAGTACGTACCTGCACACCTTTTTTGCCGACGCAGATTCCCCCCCTGCGCGCCAAAAACGAAGGGACCGCCACAAAGGCGTTTTCTTGTTGTTTTGGCTGGTGTCGCCAGCCATATTGGTGCGGTGGCACTGTTCACCGGGTTGTAGCAATTTCGATTCTCAAGTTTGCTTGGGTGAGGTACCGGTTGTTTATGGCTCCGCCGGCTCGCTCATATCTTTGAGCTGTGTAGCACACCAAACATGTTCGGAGCTGTTCTGAACGCCCAAACATGTTCGGGTGTTCGTCCGAACGCCTCCCTAACGTGTTCGATTGAACATATATATGATTATTTTTTTAATGATTAAAATTCTAGGCTGGGCCGCTGTCCGGCCGGGCGGGCCCTGACCAGTTGGGCCCGGGGGGTCCCCCCGGCGAAACCGGGCGACACACAAGGATTTTTTTTTTTTTTTTTTGAAGGCGGGATTGTGCTGCGCTACCCTAGAGGACCCCGAATCTGCAATAGAAAGGGAACTTGGGAGGGGGGGGGGGGGTGGGGGGGGGGGGGCAGGGGGGGGGGGGGGGGGGGGGGGGGGGGGGGGGCAGGTGGCGAGGAGGGGGTGGCGGGTAATTCTATCGGGGTAGGCTTACAAGTTACAACTTCTAAAGACTGTGAAGGTGTGTGAAGAAAGAAAGACAGAAAATGAGCACCCTGGTAGACAAAGTGCTAAGCTTCAAGTGGCACATGAGTAGCAGTGTTAGGAGAGCCAAATACCTGCCTCCTTCCCCCAAACACAACCCACCCTTATCATGACTAAATCGGGCCAAAGAAAAAGATGGCTTGTTTTTATGCATTCATGATGAGGGTGCATGGTGTTCGGTTGAAGATGGTAGTTGACTTTTCTAAATGTCACTGACACTTCTGAGCCTCAGAGAATAGCCTGAGCGGTTAGGCTATCTTTAATCGAGGACTTCCTTCGCCATCTCCATTGCAAACTCGTTGAGACAACACCAAGCTGTTCTGCAGTGATGTGGTGCAGCATATGCAGCCGGTAGCAATCTTAGGAGAGGTGTGAGCGCCAAACAGCGTCACAGTCTCCAGGGTTTGAGTTACACCCATTGTGTGATGTCATCAGAGTCAAGGCAGCAAAAATGTTGGAGAGACGAGAGACGTGCCAAGAAGAAGAATGGGGGGTGGAGTTGCAGCACGTGGGCGTGTATTGCCGGTCAATTGATTTCATGTCTTTGAATGCTCAGCAAGACGACGAACAAGGGGGCAGAGGAATGAAAAGAAGCCGAGGCATATGCGGCCACTCTTGTTTTCAGACCATGTTGGGAGTGTTCAGGAGGGAGGAAAGGTACCAGGGACGGAGGCATGTGGACATGTGTCCAACTTTTTTTTTGAACCTGGGAATGCTGGAGGCAAACTGGGATGGAGAGGGAGGAGAGAGAAGTTGTTGATGCACGATGCACATGCAACAACTGCACACAAGACTTTTCCACCTCAGAATGCGAGAGAGGAGAAGAGGTAGAGGGGGAGGATGGACAGGGTAGGGAGAGAAGGGTGGCACATTCATACGTACATGGATGGAGAGGGAGGAAAGAGAAGTGGTTGATGCACAATGCACATGTAACAACCGCACACAAGACCTTTTCCACCTCAGAATGCAAGAGAGAAGAAGAGGTAGAGGGGAAGCGTGGAAAGGGTAGGGAGAGAAGGGTGGCACATCCATATGTACATCATGGTTTCACATTTCCTGTCATGTTTGACATCTTCTTTTACGATATGGAATGCTCCCTGTTTTTGCTATGCTTCTTCAAGGCATCCCTACACATGGGCAAATTTCCAGCAAATGGACGAAAGCCGTCGAAAGCAGACATCTGAAAAGGAAAAAAAAATGCTAATTCAAGGTTGGAAAGGAAAAGGGAGACCCTCCTGAATGGGGATGAAGAATATGCTCACGAGGTACGAGGAGAAAACGAAAGTGTAAGCATTTAAAATTTTAAACATTTGAAAATGAATGTGTGGATTCTGCACACACCACAGATGTGCACAGGACTGCTGCCGAGTAGACACCCCTCGATCCTCGGACCTAAAATCAGGCTGCAACGAGCGTGTTGTTACAAGCTCCAAGCTCGAAGCAACGTCCCATTACTTTATTATAAGTTTATACCATACTTGCGGCGCACCGGCACTGTGCGTGGACCCAGGGTGCGCGCGCACCGGCGCGCGCCGTGCATCTGGGTGCACAGTGCACGTCTGGTGTGCTGCGCGCATGTGCGCAATGTATATTTCCATGTTCTAGGGGTAGATTCATCTGATTTTGTTCTCTCTCTCTCTCTCTCTCTCTCTCTCTCTCTCTCTCTCTCTCTCNCCCCCCCCCCCCCCCAACTAAGTCCCTTACCTTGTTGAAGGCGGCCGTTGGCGGGCGACGGCGCGGTGCGCGATGGCGGGCATTGGCAGGTGCTGGCGGGGTGCGTCGAAGAAGCGCGTTGAAGTTGCGCGTCGAAGGCCGGCGGACACACAGTGCTGCAAGGCAGGGAAGGGTGGACGTTGGGGGCACATCTTCAGCACGGGGGAGGGAACGGGGGCCGGTAGTTCCCGCCCTCACCCATTTGAAATCAGTGCAATCTGGGCCGTCGATCTTCGAGATCGACAATCCAGATGGGGCCTGATTTCAAATCGGTGAAATCGGGCCGACCGGCCCCGTTTTTTTTCTTTTCGCGGTCCACACGGTCTACGAAGGGGGCAAAAAGGGCCCCAGTGCAAAAAAAAAAAAAAAAAAACCTAACCTACAGTGATGCGCTGGGGGCACCCGGTGGCCAACCGGGCGCGACAACCGGCCAGGGGCCCGGCACCCCCCCCCGAGCGACGGCCAGGCCGCCGGGCGGCCCGGGGACCAGCCTAGTTAAAATTTTAATAAAAAAATATGATTTAAATTTTGAATATCTTAATTTTTTTTAGTTTTTTTTTTTTAACTCGAGAGTTTGGTTACGAATTTGAGCATACCTTCCAGGCAAAAGGTGTTTGTATTATTATTTTACGTAACTTTTTTTTTTCAGATTTTTTTTCAATTTTCTGAGTTTTTTTCTTTTTTTTCTTTTGTGTGTATGTTTGCGTTCGGAGGGTATTGGCTCTCGTTCGCATTCGGTCACATGATGCGACACAGCCTTTGAGAAAAAAGGTAAAAAGAAAAAGGAAAAAAGAAGGCAAGTGCACTGCAGTTTGACCAAAGGCTGGCAATTGTCGGGAATTCACTTGTACTTCTCTCCTCTCTCGCTTCTTCTGGTGGTCCTTTTTTTGTTGTTGTTGGGAGTCAGATTGGCATTTCGTGGAGTGTCTGCTGTTTGCTGTTTGCTTGACGAGGTTCCCCCTTTCTTATGATTTCTGTCTGATGTTCTAAGCACAGTTGCTTAGAGGGCTGCGAACCATCAAGGACTCGTGTATGGCCCTCGGAGGGGGTATGCCTGCGGATTCGGGCGGTCGTGAAGTTAGCAGCCCGATGGGACCAGCGATCTCGGCAAAGTCGCTCTCGCTCTTGACGAGACTCAGCAACGAGTGTGAAGAGGCTCTGAAGGTGCTCAAGGATGGCGAACGTATTCTCGCGCAGGCTATGCCACGCTACATGCAGAAGCGAATGCAGCGGCCCAACGTTCGCAGCAGTTAGTCACTGTCACTGCAGTAAATGCCAGTAAGCCAATATCCTCCTACCCTGCCAGAGTGGTAACTTTTTTCTTTGTGTGTGAAATGCGATACACCCACTGTATCGGCCTGGCGGAAAACATAACCAAGCGGTATCTAGATGGGTGTTTGAATAGTATTTTTATGTGTCCTCCTTTTGCCTAAACAACGCATGCAACCGGCATGGGCGGACGAACTCATAGGTGGCAGAAGTCTGGTAACATATGTAATCTGTATGTAGATAGGTTTTGAATCCCTTCTGACGCTTTCTGTTTAGTTTCCCCCCCTCCCCCCCTCCCCCTCCCCCTCCCCCTCCTCTTCCCCCCCCAAAAAATGCATTCAACCGGTTTAGGTAGGTGTCCGTTCAGAATACACCCTGATTGTTTCTGTATAGTTTTTAACTTTTAAGTTTTAACTCAAAAGTTTTAGGTTGTAATTTTTAACTTGAAAGTTTCAGGTTTTAAACTTTTAAGTTTTAACTCGTTTAGGCTTTGTCAAGTCTTAAGTTTTAACTCGTTTAGGCCTCCTTTTCTTTTCTCGCGTTTGATATCTGTGTTTCTCCTCCCTTGTCTCCTTGTCCGTCCTTTGTTTTTCTTATCAGGTTTCTTCTGATTCCTCATTTTGTTCTGTGCTCATTTTTTCGTCCTTTTTCTTTCACTTCTGTACTTTTCTTTCCCCTCTTTTCTCTCTGCGCGTTTCCGAAAATGTAGGCCAAGTTGAAAAAGAGAAGGCGAACAGTTCATGAACTGGCGAAGTTGCGTCCTCTGACAATTACTGTACCCTGGCCGAAGATTTGGACATCCTTGTCCTGTGTTTTCTGCCCCTTTCCACTCCTTTTTCTTTGCCCCCTTGAATCTCAAAACACAGCACTATAGCTGTGGCTGGAAACCCCTGCTGACTCGAAGTTCCTCTAATAAATGATAATAATAATAATAATAATAATAATAATAATAATATATAATAATAATAATAATAATAATATATAATAATAATAATAATAATAATGCTATGCTATGGGTGTTTCCCATTCTGCAGAGCATGACGGCTGTTCCTGCCCACTGTCAGCTAAGTTGAGGTCATATTTCTTTTTTTTTTTCCTTTTTTTTTTTTTAATTTGGGCCATTTCTCGATTTATGCATGTCATCCTTGCGCAGGGGCTGTGCTAATCTTCTCTGTATCGTTCCAATTTTAACGGATGTCCCGAAGGACGTTGACGTCATATTTCTCAGATTTGAAGATTTCTCTTTTTCGGTCCTCTCTCTGTGTCTTTTTCCCTTGTTCTTTTGTTCACCCTTCTTTCAATTCCGTTTCTTTCTCCTCGTTTGTCCTCCGAAACATGATCTTGTTGCTTCTGAGCTCGTGATTGAAAGGCCTTCCACGATTCAGAACCCAAATTCGGATTTCAGGGTCGAGGTCACAGGCGAAGTCGGTCAGTTTCAGAGAAGTCACAGTCGGGTACCTCAGGAGTCAAGTCCAACAGGCACCCGCTGAACAGTCACATCCCAGGGGCAAAAGTCACGTCTCCTATTGAAGAGTCGTATTGAAAAGTCATGTTCCGCAGGCAAAGGACACTTTCCCAAGCAAAAGCCGTGTCCCAGAGGCAGCCTGAGGAGTGACAACCCACAGTCAAAAGTCATCTTCCACAAGTGAAAAGTCCTGACTCACAGGCCCAAGCAGCAGCGCACGAATGAAAATTCGGGAAAAGAACCAGGCCCTGACATTCTGACGGAAACAGGCCGTGGGGATGTGGTACCAGAACCAAGTCAAGCCCCAAGAAGTAGAGGCTGGGACGAATTGACGCTCAGTCCAAGGCAATATAAGGACTGGCCAGCATCCTCATTCGGGCAGATTGCTCATTTGCATGAAGTGTGGAAGTGCTGGTGCACTTGTGCGCTAATGTGAGGAGTGAAGCGCTGAGCCAGGGAGCTGCGCTGTTGAAGGGAGAGAGAGGGAGCAGCCATAGCTGCCCAGCGCTGGCAGAGGGAAGGCGGCCATAGCTGCGCCAGTGCTTAGGAGTTAGCGGCAGACCTCAGGAGAGTGAGTAGAGTTAGCGGTGGGTATATTCAGAGTTGGTCCTTGAGTGTAGATAGTGTGAGTGTTATGCAAGTAGAGAGAGAAGACACAGGGAGGTTGTCGACAGAGAGAAGACCAAGAGAGAAGAGAGAAGAGTGGTGGGAGAGACGCTCACCTGAATGAAGATACTGGTTACTTGGATCTGCACTGTTGAGCGCTTGTGACCGGAACTCTTAATTGCTCATATGATAATTTTTTGGAGATTCTAAAGCTGCGCTTACCGGGTCTTCATCTCTCTGAACTTCGTGTGAGCTCATTCGTGCATGGTGTGTGATTGTGTGCGCTCATTGGTGGTGAACTGGGAGGTTCATTGCATGATGGTCGAAAATGATGATTGCTGAGAAAAGAAATCTTGCTGCTTGAAAAAAAGGAGTCTTTTTTATGGTAACCGACCGGACATCTGGACCAGGTTCCAGACAGTCCTGAACAACATGTTGGGCGGGGTCCGGTGTCCGGTCCGTGATGTCCAGATGAAGGGCCTCAGGGCAAAAGTCAGAAAAAAAAAAAAGGGGCGGCCCAGGACGTTTTTCGGGTCCTGGCCGCCCCTTGAGAAACAACGGGGTGATTTTTCAGTGTCGTTTCACCCCCACTGGAGAGGACGTAGAGGCCCGGACACAAGACACTGCAGGTTTTGGGGTGGCGGGTTTCACACAGGCCCGCGGAAATTTCAAAGCGGTCATTTCGACGCACCACCCACCGCTGCTGCCCATTGGAGAGAGAGAGAGAGAGAGAGAGAGAGAGAGAGAGAGAGAGAGAGAGAGAGAGAGAGAGAGAGAGAGAGAGAGAGAGAGAGCACTGACAGTGCTGCCAGTCTGAATGCTCTGACGTTCTGAATTGAACTGCAAAGTTCGAACGTTTAAGTTTTATATGAAGTTATGAACTTAAATTTTACTTAATTCAAAGTTCAGACTTCAAAGTTAATCATATTTTTTTCAGTTTTTTTTCTTTGTTCTTTAGTCTTGTGCCTGCTTTGCACTGTTTGCAACTCTGCATGTCTGCTAGTTGAATGTGCATGTTCATTTGCTGCAGGACAGTTGATCTGCTGCCTGAACTACTACAAACTTAGTACAAAGTGCAAAGCAGGTGAGTGCCTGCCAACAACCCCCCCCCACCCACCCACCCACCCCCTGTTTCTTTCTTTTTTTGTTTTTTTGTCCGGACACTTTTGACCCCCTGACACCGGTCTGGACTGCCCGGGTCCGGTGATGTCCAGATCACTGGATAGTCCGGGCCGGTCCAGACACTAGTCCGGAAGACAGTCAGGAAGTGTCTGGTGCCCGGGTCTGCGGTTACCATGCTCTTTTTCTGCTTGAGGAGCAAATTGCTATCGTCTGCGCCTCTGTTTTTCTTTTCCCCTCGCCTTGGGGCCATGGCACCAACTCCACAAGGTGCTGCTTTAACGTGATGTTGTTACGCAAAGTCAGAGTCTGATGCATTTGATTCCTTTCTATGCTCTCTTTCAGTCACGATAATCCTCCTGTCACTCTGGTGGCCCCCGACGGCGCAAGTGGGATGAACTGGGGGGACCCCAGAACCGAACCATGTCCGTTCAGGAAAGCAGATAAGTGCTTAGCCAGGAAAAAACAGGCAGAAGAGATAAGAAGATCCCAAACAGAAAGGAAAAGAGAATCTACCATAACGACACCCCTATCAAATATGTAGGGCGGTTTTGCTTCTGCCGACAGTGCAAACGGACGAACAACGTTTTTTTCAACGTTCTTGATCACTGATGCTGCTGCTGGGGTGCATCGGGTCATGGAGCAAACATCCATGTTGGGGCTTATTCCATTTGGCTCTTTAATCGTGTGGTGTTTGGAAATTTCAATCCGTATTTCATTCATAAGTTCTCCGATTTAAACAGGAGAGAATTTTTCATGTTTTCAGTACTCTTTACCTTTTGTAACCGTTGTTGTTTTCCACTTTCAACCCCAACCTGCTGCTTAGTCTATTTGGCGAATTCCTTTGGCGGAAGGTTTAAACAGGTCTGAAATCAGTCTCGCCCGGTAAGTGGAAGGTCGAGAGATCGATTCCTTTGGGTCAAGCTTCCGTCTGAACCTGCCATGCATATGACTTGCGGAAATGCTGCATCGCAGCACAGCTTCGAGGTCTTGCACTCTTTTTAACCTATTTTCGGTGAAAGTATGGGCTCGGAAGTGGAAAGATCGCGGGTTCGATTCCTTTGGGTAGGTAGAGCTCTGCGTGAACCTCTCGTGCATGGGCTGGCGTGCCACCATGGCACCAGCCAAGCATGAATGATACTTTGGCAAATGTCACTGCACAGAATGACTTTGAGGTCGTGCACTCTATTTGACGTTTGAACCGTGTGCCAGCGGATGTTGCCCCATACGTTAATCTTTCGAGCTTCAAACACTGTGGACATACCAACTCTGCAAGATACGGGCCTAGCGCAGTTGGTACACCCAGGAACTGTTGAAGTACGGACCCAAGTTCGGATCCAGATGCAATCAGATGAACAGAACAAAATAATTCGGAATTACCTGGGGCCTACCGTCCCACGAACATAACGCATACGCGTTGTAAACAAATATAACGCATACATTGATTTTTATCTGTTTAATTCGCATATATGCGTTGTATTCGAGTGGACTGCACCAACTTTTTGGACAGAAGGGGGTGGGGTCCAGGCTGAGGAGGCTCAGTTCTGGCTCGTGGCGGAGGGCCTCAGAAAGAGAAAAAGCGTGGTGTTATGTCTTTCCATGTTCTTGCTGAAGATTCATCCTCCTTTTCCCACTTGGGGCCTCGCTCCACCCCTCACCAATTGTTTTTTTTTTTTTTTTTTTTTTT